CAACAAGGTTTGTGTACCTACTATATGATATTGAACTCAGAATCCATTTTGTTTGATTATCTTTACCAGTCTGATAATGATTAGTCATCATAATAGTTATATTTGTCTTTGGCTTTTTCTATATAGTCCAACTATTTATGATTACTGAACATGTATGACTATTAATATTCTTTCCATGGCTTATGTAAATGTTATACTAGATGCCAAATACAGAAAAATGAGTCAGAAGGCAAAACTCGGATCATGATAGTTTAGAAAAGAAATGATCTAGAATGTTTTATCTGTAATGAAGGCCATAGGACCTGACTGCCTTCCACTTACCTACCCTTCCCTTCTGGAAAAAATTCAACCTCAACTCAGATTCCATGGTTATAGTATAGTCCCATGCCCAATGGTCAACAAGACAACATTGAAACTGAGATTTCTTAGGAATGAGCCTTCCTAGGGCTGTGAGACCACACTATCCAATCAAAAGGTTGGTTATTAATGCATTCTTTGGATTGATTTATGACCAAAGTGGGAACTGTGGATGAAAAAAAGAGGTTCTGTAGAAAGAAATCTCATAGGGTGATCTGTTCATAAATTCCTAACTGGGTAGGTCATAGTGGGAAGCCAAGCCCCATACCTATAACTTCTTTAGTGAAAGGTTTTAAGCCAGCTGGTCCATTGCTCTTATGCATGTAAAGTTAACACACCTTTGAAATACCAGATGTAGTAATCCTCAAAGGGGATGGTAACTCTCAAGAGAGCACATAAACTTAAAATTTTTTATTTTATTTTACTTTTTCTTCAGCATTTATCCCCTTTATGACCTATTCCACTCCTCCCTTCCCCCTGCCATCATCACATTGTTGTCCATGTCCATGAGTTCTCTCTCTTTTTTTTCTCTCAATCCCTCCACCCCACTCAACCCCACCCCCCACCCAGAACTGTCTGCCGGCTCTCTGCCTATGAGTCTGTTGTGGAATTTAATGAACAAACTGAACTACCAAACAAAAGAGAGCACATAAATTGTTAACTATCCTTCAGTCTAATCCCCACCTTGTTTTCTCCCACCTCCTTACATTTCCTTCTTAATTTCAAATGCATAAAAGAAGATGCAAACTGTTATTCTCCAGTGCATATGCCATCAGTTAGGCTCAAATAAACTGTTATAAAAATTCTCTACAGGTCTGAATATTTTTTTACTTTCCTGGGAGTGTGTCCTGACAGGATGAAGCCTTTCAAATAAGATATGGTTGTGTGTGACTGTAACAGTGGGGAATTGTAACCCACTCCATCATTCCTTTGACATTGTTTCTGTAAATGCTAACTCTGACTAACATATAGCTGTAGATAAACAGCATGTTTGTAAAGGAATTCTATGAACTAACTTCAGAAGATGCATATTCTGACCTTCAGTTATCCCAGTTTATGGAGGTTTGCTGACCTTCAACCATAGAACCAAGATGACGAAGACCAGGATGATGCACATCCAACCATCACTTGACCAGTTTCAATATCCTTATTGAAATGGATCATGCTGGTCAGCACATGGAGAAATTTTCAGAACCCTCTCCTTGATTTCCTTGTCCTGTTTTTCTCTTCCTCCTTATAAAAACTTCTGCCTGGGGAGAGCAACCAAGATGGTGGCATAGGTAAACACCTGAACTTGCTGCCGCGCACAACCACATTAAAGCTACAACTAAAAGACAAAACGAATATCATCCAGAACCACAGGAAGGCTGGCTGAGTAGAAATTCTACAACTAAGGAAAGAGAAAAGCGCATTCCGGTAGGAGGTGCAGAGGTGTGGAAGTGTGGAGGTATGGAGGCGCGTGCGAAAGGGGCTGGCAGCTGGGTATGCTGTTGTCTTTTTCAATCGGGAGGGAGATACAAGCTCCCAACTGCTCTGAACTCCAGTTCCGGGCGAGTCTCTGGGGACCCAGACTCATATGGAAACTGGACTGTCTGGCATCGGGTAGGAATGCGAGGGCGGCTTTCTCACAGAGGTGCTTGCAGCGTTCATTGTTCCTGCACGGGGCCTCGGGATACAGACCGCGGGACCTCTCTGAGGCAAAGCAGACTGGCAGCCATTGCGGTTTGCTTCACCCTGATGATTCCCTGAGACCCCACCCCACCCAATTTACAACCCCACCCAAGCTGTGCACTTTTGCATACGAATGGCCTGGCCTTTCTCCGCCTAAAAACCTGTCAAACTGTAGCTGGGTCAGAGAACCCCAGAGCTACCAAAAGAAGACCTAAGGCTCGTCAGCAGCCTGCATTACTTCACAGCTGCTCCTCATCTGGGCACCTCCAAACCCCAAACAAATAGGAGGAATCTGCAGATCTCTCTGTAGCTCCTGCTGGGTAGCCTCAGGCAGTGGCTGACTTTGCACCTCCTTGGAGATCCAAGAGCCAGTCTACCCAGTGGTCAGTGAGACCATCCAGATTACAACTCCTCAGATCCATAAGAGACATACTCAAGGGGCAGACTCAGTGAGTGCCAAAGCCCCACTGAAGCAAGTCCTGCCCCATAAGGGTGTCTCCAGCACAGAAGTTCTCCCACTGTAGACACAACTGGTCCTCATAGCCAACTGACCTGGAGGTCAATTCCTCCCAGTGATACCATCAGCAATCAAGGCTTAACTACAACAAGACTGTGCACACAGCCCACAAAGGGGTGCACCAAGAGTGTCCACCTCAGGTAATTAGGGAGGCTGACCCACTGGGCCCTATAGGACACCTAGAATACAAAGCCACTCTATCAACACAGAGAAGCAGCCAAATGCAGAGACAAAGAAACAGGTCACAAATGAAAGAAATAGAGGAAAGCAAACTACTGGATATAGAGTTCAAAACCACGGTTATAAGGTTACTCAAGAATCTTCTAGAAACCTCCGATAAATCTAGTGAGACCCTCAAGGATATGAAAAAGGACCAATTAGAAATTAAGCATACACTGACTGAAATAAAGAATAATATACAGAGATCCAACAGCAGACTAGAGGATCCCAAAAATCAAGTCAAAGATTTGAAATACGAAGCAAAAAACACCCAACCAGAAAAGCAAAAGGAAAAAAGAATACAAAAATATGAAGATAGTGCAAGGAGCCTCTGGGACAACTTCAAGTGTACCAACATCTGAATTATAGGGGTGCCAGAAGAAGAGAGAGAGCAAGATATTGAAAACCTATTTGAAGAAATAATGACAGAAAACTTCCTCTACCTAGTGAAAGAAATAGACTTACAAGCTCAGCAAGCGCAGAGAACCCCAAACAAAAGAAATCCAAAGAGGACCATACTAAGACACATCATAATTAAAATGTCAAGGGCAAAAGACAAAGAGAGAATATTAAAAGCAGCAAGAGAAAAAGTTAGTTATCTACAAGGGAGTACCCATATGACTCTCAGCTAATTTCTCAACAGAAACCATGCAGGCCAGAAGGGAGTGGCAAGAAATATTCAAAGTGATGAATACCAAGAACCTACAACCAAGATTACTGTACCCAGCAAAGCTATCATTTCGAATTGAAGGTCAGATAAAGAGCTTCACAGATAAGAAAAAGCTAAAGGAGTTCATCACCACCAAACCAGTATTATATGAAATGCTGAAGGGTATTCTTTAAGAAGAGGAAGAAGAAGAAAAAGGTAAAGATAAAAATTATGAACAACAAAGTGACAACAAATACATATCTATCAACAAGTGAATCTAAAAATCAAGTGAAGCCCTAACCGGTTTGGCTCAGTGGATACAGTGTCGGCCTGTGGACTCAGGGGTCTCAGGTTCGATTCCAGTCAAGGGCATGTACCTTGGTTGCAGGCACATCCCCAGTAGGGAGTGTGCAGCTGATCGATGTTTCTTTCTCATCGATGTTTCTAACTCTCTATCCCTCTCCCTTCCTCTCTGTAAAAAATAAATAAAATATATTTAAAAAATAAAAATAAAAATAAAAATAAAGTGAATAAAAAATCCGATGAACAGAATAAGCTGGTGAATAGAATAGAATCAGGGGCATAGAAAGGGAGTGGACTGACAATTCTCAAGGTGAAGGGAGTGTGGGGGGTGCTGGAAAAGACTGAACAAAAATTGTACACCTATGGATGAGGACAGTGCGGGTGTGTGTGTGTAAGGGCAGGGGGTGGGATGGGAACCGGGTGGAGGGGAGCTATGGGGGGAAAAAGAGGAACAATTGTAATAATCTGAACAATAAAGATTTATTAAAGAAAAACAAAAAAACTTCTGCCTGCACTGAGATGTTGAGATTGGCTTTGCAACAAGAATCCCCCATTTTCTCAGGTGTCCAGCACTTGAATAAATCACTTTCCAATTTCAACAGCATCTGTCTCAAGAGTTTGGCTTATGTGGTAGCAGGCAGCTGAATCTGGGTTCTGGTGACATGGCCCTAAAGCCAACATAGTGTAGGAGAGGCAGAGTGGCTGGAGTGGAGGATAGTGTCTCACAGGTGGCAAGTAAGTGTGGGGGAAACTGAAGTACAGAAGAGGTTTCGGATTGAATTAAAGAATTTGCAGTGTTCTATGACCTCATGACCAGAGGGGACATCAGCAGTGGGCACCTGAACAATACTCAAGGTACAAGGTGGTCATACCATGCTACAGTGGAGACCCCAGGTCAAGCTGGCCAGTACAGCTCTGGCTGGTATAGCTCAGTGGTTGAGTGTTGTTCCATGCATTGAAGGGTCACGCGTTGGATTCCTGGTCAAAGGCACCTGCCTGGGTTGCAGGTTCAATCCCTGGCACAGTTGAGGCATGTGGGAGGCAACCAATCATATGTCTCTCTCTCATATTGATGCTTCCCCCTCCCTCTTTCCCTCCCTCCCTCCCTCCCTCCCTTCCACCTTCTCTAAAAGTCAATGGAAAAAATATATCCTCAGGTGAGGATCAACAAAACAAACAAACAAAAAGATGGCCAGAACATATTGTTTCCAGTGGATACCAAGAATTTCAGATGATTCAAATGCTTGGGGGCAGGATGAATAATAATCTCTGCTGACATCTCTACAGATTTTAGCCATACAATAATCAGATTTATTTTTCCTATAGGCTAGTTGTTTAGTGTGATTAGATTCCACAGAATAGATAATGGGTTCAGAGAGGGAATGTGGCAGTGAGTCAGCTCAGTGCTCAGCACTCAGGTCTTGTGTCTCCAAATTCACCACCTCTCCGTCCCCTTCACTGCTTCTTTTGGGCCTCACTGATGGCGATGACAGTCATTCTAGAGCTCATCTCTCATGCCCAGATGACAAGGTGCCTAATGGTCTCTGGACCCCGAGTTGCCTTCAGTTCCCAATTACTGACTCTTATTCCATGTGACAGTAAGGGGCTGGGCCAGGCTGCTGTGCTGCACGTGGCAGGAGTAAGGGCCTCTGTCCGAAGAGGGGATTTTCACCACCACCCAGGACTGGTAAGTGCCATTCTCACTGAGAGGACCCTCTCCCCATGACTCAGTCTCCACTACACTGTCTGCCTGAGTCCAGTACATACTGATTGGTTTTGGGTAGAAGTTGTCAGCCACGCACTTGAAGGTCCTGATGTTTCCTTGGTCCATATGGCTGGTGATTGACACAGAGGGAGGGTCTGTGGAGAGATAGAGCACAGAGTTTGAGGGTCTGAAGGAGACATTTCCCTGTTCACGTCTCTCCCACCCCTGGAGTCAGGGATGAGCAGAGCTCTCCGTTTTCTACCTGCCTCCCCAGGAAACTTCCAGAAGATCAGGGAAGCTGAGGCTTTCCATGAACCTTCCCTGTTGGATAATGGAATGTCTGTGGCTACTTCCTTGCCTCCCAGCACCCCCCTGCCCACGCACTGTGGATTGACTTCTGGTGGCAAGAAATGTGACTTCCCCATGTTTTAATGTTTTTGGTTTCTCTCTCCCCCCGCCCTTCCCCCCAAAACCTTCCAGTGGGCTTTGTGGCTCCTGCCTTCCCCAGTCTGTCTGCTCCTTAATAACTTCTTTCTGATTAATTATTAAACCAAAGTCTCAGCTTGTGTCAATCCTGCTCTCATTTACTCATCTTCATCCTTCCTGGGCAGACATTTTACACACCTGCCTTCTCCCCACAGCCAAGCCAGGAGGCATTTCACAGAGAGAAATGACTACAGGATTTGCCTGAAATGTTCCCCTGAGGTCCCAGCCTGGGGTCACCTTGGTTTTTCTCAGCTCAGTGCGGGGAGGAGGACAGAGGGAGCAGTAGGTACCTTGACGGTCCAGGAAGGGCCTGCTGAATTGCAGGTACCTTTGCAGCTTCCCGGTGCAATCTTCTTCCAGGGCGGCCTTGGCCCGATGCACAGAGCCTTCTGTCTCCCACTTCACCTTGGTTTTCAGAGCTTCTGGTTGCAGGGGGATCCAGGCTGGGATTTCTGTGTCTAACTTGATGTAGTCCCGTCCATCATAGGCAACCGTCCAGAATGCCCCACAGTAGTTGTTATTCTGAACTTTACAGCCATACTTTTCCTCCATGGTGTGATTCCCTGCAGGTAACCCGACCCCCCAGAAATCAGTCAGCCTGGCATCAACTCCGTCTTAGTAAATCACTCCTGCACAGTTTGCAATGAGGAAGGAAGGGTTTTGAAATCTAATGATGCAACCCCTTTATTTTGGCAAATGGGTTATTAGCCAGACATAGAGCAGGCAGAGAGAGGGAAACTTAGTATGCTTTGGTGTTTTAGGCCAATCTGAGATGAGATACGTTCTTCCCAATCAGGGAATTTCAGATTGCTACGGGCTGTGAATAGATCTTCTAGTCCCATGAAGCACCTTTTTGAATGAACACTTAATATACTGTGAGGTCTTAGGCACCTGATACAAGCACAGAAGTTCATTTTCAAGTTAAATAGAAATTATTTGTAGTTAAAAATAGATTGTGCAATCTGTCCTCTTTTCCCGTCTACATGAAGTTTGATGTCTCCAGTTGAGTCCACAGAAGTTGATCAGTTCTTCCCTCTATTCTGGTGTCTGATGTTTTCATTACAGATCTTTAACATGGCCCCCCTTCCCAATTGGAAACTGGCCTTAGGAAAGGGGGGCAGAGTCGCTTTATTTCTATTATAAAAGTAGGTGTTTATCCAATACTGACTAGTGCTATTGGCACTGGCTCTGATCTCAAGCTATCTGGGCTCAAATCCCAGACCCATGTCTACTCTCACCTGACTTGTGTAAATTTCAGCCAATAACCTGTTTTGCTTCAATTTTCTCATTTCTAAGATGGCAATGGAACTATGTTAGAGGGTTATCCTGATCATTGCATGTGTCAATACATGTGCCTAGCACAGCACATAGAAGCTCAATAAATGTCAGGCCTTATTATTTTCTAATACCCTATTTTCATATCATGATTGCTCACATCCACTTTCCATTCCAGCCAATCAAACTCTGTTTTAGTTTCCTTCCCAGGCACCTGTGCCTTACCCACTCCTATTTTTGAGCACAGTTCAGGCTGTTTTCTCACTAGGACTTCCAAACTACATCCTTCAGATTTAGTAACTTTTGCCTTCTTTGGTAGCTTCTTGTTTGTTTGTTTTTTAATACTCAGAAACCTATCTTTTGACACCAGCCCTGTAATAATTTAAAATCACCAGTTCATCAGGCCTGTGGTTGGCTGGCTTGTGGGGTAGGCAGCATGGTTTGGGAGAAAGAAAGCTGGGTTGGGAGATGGGAGAACTAGTCTCGGAGCTCCACCTTGCATGGCTCCTCACACCATAAGACCTGGTGACCCCTCCCACCAGTCTCCTCCTATGGACAGGAGGGTCTTTATGATTTTATGGAACCCTAACAGTTTGTGGTTTTGAATTCAGTCCTTCCTGAGCAGCTAGTATGAGCCATGGTTTGCACTAGGTACTTTCTTCCAATCACTCAGCATCTTCATTGTCTGTCTTAGGTTAGGGGGCTCCTGGGGAAATCAATACAGGCTATGTCCTAGCTTTCACGGAATTTACCTAGATCATTTTCACAAGATATCTTGGAGGCAGGACTCAATGCTCCAGTTTTGGCAGATCCAGACCAGATAATTAAGAACATGTTCACTGTGGAAACAGCTAGTGACTGGCAGAGCTAGAACCTGAACCCTGATCAGAATGACCTCAGGTTATTTCACTCTTCACTTATCATCCCTGGGTGGGAGTGATTCTGATGCCTTTTTA